GTAGAGTGATATTTATGTTGAGTTTTTATGGTTGTCAATTTGTTATTTATTTCAAATTAGCTTGATTAAGAAATTGATATTGAGATTAATTGAGATGTGCATTATTATTGAACTAAAATGATATTTATATTATCGACGGAAGAAATAGAGGAAGGGTTAAAGAGTTGTGAGGGAACAAAAGCACCGGGGCCGGATGGATACAATTTTAGTTTTATCAAGTATGCTTGGGGTTGTATGAATGAGGACTTTGTGAGATTTTTTGAGGAGTTCCATCAGAATGGCAGGTTAGTAAAAGGGTTAAACTCTTCCTTCTTAACATTAATTCCTAAGAAGATGAATCCCATGGAACTAAAAGATTTTAGACCTATTAGCTTAGTTGGTTGTGTATATAAGTTGCTGGCAAAAGTGTTGGCTAATAGGCTGCAGGTGGTAATGCCGGAGATCATTAGTGATTCTCAATCTGCGTTTTTGGGAGGCCGTCAACTTGTTGACAGTGTGCTAGTCTTAAATGAGGTGGTGGAAGAGGTTAAGAAGCGTAAGCAACAAGCTTTTATATTCAAAGCTGATTTCAAAAAGGCGTACGACTGCGTAGATTGGTCATATTTAGATGGGATGATGAGCAGATTTGGTTTTGGCGGGAAGTGGTGATGGTGGATTCGAGAATGCCTTTCAACTGCTCGAGTCTCAGTTCTGGTTAATGGAAGCCCAACAGAGGAGTTTGCGATGGGGAAAAGATTACGACAGGGGGATCCGTTATCTCCGTTCCTTTTTCTCATGGTGGCTGAGGGTCTACATGGACTAGTCAAAAAAGCAGAAGAGGGATTGTTACAAGGCATCACGGTGGGTAATAATGGCTTAGCTATTTCTTTGCTACAATTTGCAGATGATACAGTGATATTGGGGAAAGCTAATAGTGAGAGTATTTTTACGGTTAAAACTATTTTGAGATGGTTTGAGTTGATGTCTGGGTTGTGGATAAATTATGGCAAAAGTAGTGTCTTTGGTTTCAACATGGCTTCTCGGTGGATTAAAGGGGCAGCAAGTGCTCTCCATTGTGGTGTTGGGGAAACACCCTTTATGTATCTGGGTATGCCGATTGGGGGGAAGAGTGGGAGTAAGAAGATGTGGAATCCAATTCTGCATAAATTTCAAGCTAAGTTAGCTGTCTGGAAGTTTGCTGTGCTGTCTACTGGTGGTTGCATCACTTTACTCAACTCGGTACTCTCTGCAACTCCCATTTTTTATGTCTTTGTTTTTAATGCCAAATTGGGTAGTAAAAAGGTTGATTAGTATTCAAAGGGCTTTTTTGTGGGGAGGGATGGAATTGAAGAGGAAGATTTCATGGGTTAAGTGGGATTATGTGTGTACTAGTAAGAAGAAAGGAGGTCTAGGGGTGCCAGATTTGCGTCAAAAAAATTGGGCATTGTTAGGGAAGTGGTGGTTTAGATTAGGGGATGGAGTGGAGGGCTTGTGGAAACAGGTGGTTTGGGAGAGGTATTATGGTGGAAGGGAGGAAGTGGATATTACAGCAGTGGATACAGTTAGGGTGTCTAGGCTATGGAGGGATGTTCTGAGTATAGGGTTGCGATCAGATGGTTTAAAGAATATGCTGGTGAAGGGTTTTAGATGGGGGGTGGGAGATGGAAGTAGGGTGGATTTTTGGAAAGAGGTTTGGGTGGGGGAGAAGACTTTGAGGGATTTGTGTCCTAGGCTTTTCCAATTGGCGCTTCATAAGGATGGTTTAGTTAGTGAGATGGGGGTTTGGGAGGAAGGTAGTTGGAAATGGAGGATTGATTGGAGAAGAGAGAAGGATGAGGAGGTGTTGTTGTGGGAGATCCTGGGTAAAGTTCAACTTAAGGAAGGTGTTAAGGATTGTTGGCAGTGGGTGCATGTTCCTGATGGCAGGTTTAGGGTGAGACATGCGTATGAGTTCTTGGAATCTACGAATTACATTCTTAATGAACAATTATGTAAGTTAATTTGGTGTCGGTTAGTGCCTTCGAAAGTTAGTTTTTTTGGGTGGAGATTATGTCTGGAGTGTCTTCCCACTAAGTTTAGCTTACAAAAAAGAGGTGTAGGTCTGGATGGGGGATTAGGGTGTGCGTTGTGTGACGGGGAAGTGGAAGAGTGTAATCATGTTTTTTGTACATGTTCGGAAGCTTGGTTAATTTGGACTAAGGTGCTGCATTGGTGGGGTATGGAGGCTGTTGTGCCGAATAGAGTGGGGGGAATAATGGATTTGTTTGCATACGGGCTGGGTAGGGGGCTGGGTAAGGTGATAGGGAAGGAATTGGGGGCTTGCATCTTTCTTGTTACTACATGGTATATATGGTTTTGGAGGAATTGTAGAGTTTTTAAAGGAAATGGGGTATCAAGGGATGAGTTCTTGGAATTGATTCAGGCCAAGATTTTTTTCTGGGTAAAAAATAAAGTGCAGGGATGTGTTTTCTCTTTTTGGGATTGGAAACTCAACCCGCTGGAAATTGTTGCAGAAATAAGAAACAATAGAAGGCTGATGTGGGAGTTCCATTTGAACCAAAAGGGAAGGGTATAATGGGGCTGCTGGGTGGGTCATTGTCCAGCATGTACCAGATGTTGGCCTACTTTTGTGAGTCTCAATTCTACAGTTTGTAGCTTAGTTTGTGTATATGGGTTAGAGTACCCCTTGTACTCTGCATTAATATCAATCTATTCATTTTGCTGATAAAAAAATGATATTTATATTGAATTTTTATATATCAAATGCATTATAAAATTATGAAAAAAATATTTACTTGATTGATAAATATTGATTTTTTAATTAATTAATTGATTGAGTAGAGAATTATGATTATATGCTTTAATTGTGGAGTAACTTATAATTAATTACATTGTTAGTTAAATCATAATTAATTATAATGATTATAGTTGATTGATTAATTAAATCATAATTAATTATAATGATTATAGTTGATTGATTAATTAAATCATAATTACATATTTAATTAGTAAGTAAACTATGATTAATTTAATTAATTAGTTGATTATAAAGTTATTATGTGCTAAATAGATAGTCAAGATTATTTTTAAAGCAAAATGAACAGTCAAGATTACTTTGAGAGTAAAATGGATAATCAATCTTACTTTGACAGCCAAATGGACAATCAACCAAACTTTGACAGCCAAATGGACAGTCAATCCTACTTTGGCAGTCAAATGGACAGTCAACCCTATTTTAGCAGCCAAATGGACAGTCAACCCTATTTTGACAGCCAATTGGACAGTCAACCATACATTGATAGCCAATATGATGGTATAATTTTTTTTTCCTTTTCCCTCTCATAATTTTTTATTTCATGTTGATGCATACCATTTACTAACATATTCATTTTATGTTAATTTACATAGGAATTATTAAGGATACTCCTGAAACATTATGGGATTGTCCATCTCGGAGTCCTCTAAGGAAGAAGTTGACAACATCAAGGAATCATATTGCAATCCCCCAAGACATTCCATTGCCTAAAAATGAAGACAACGTTGTTTGCCAAATATGTGATATTTCTGGACATG